GAGCCCTGGCACCCCCCGAACCGGGGGAAGGAGGTGCCCTGTGCCGGGACCCGGCCCTGGGAGCTTCGTGGTGGGGGTGGCGGGGCTTTCTGCCCCCTCTCAGCGGAGGTTTGCCCTGTGCGGGACCCCAGCATCATCCGAAGGTGTTTCCTGGTCTCCAGGAGAGATGACCTCCCTGGGAGGCAGAAATGTGCCACCAGCTGGAGATGCACCTGGAGATGAGATGAGATGAGATGCACCAGCTGAAGGTGCAGCCCAGCTGCTTTTGAGCCTGAGCTGGGGTTAATCCCCCGCAGCGTGTAGTTTTGGAGGCCCTAATGAGACTTTGCGGTACTTAATGAGCTAAAACCTGATGGTGTTGCCACATGGATGGTGTCTCCAGACACTGATGTCCTCAGAAGCCTGAGGAGATGCTGGTGGAGGGTGGTTGGCTGCCCTGGGGTCCCAGCCTGCTGGGATCTCGTGATGTGATGGGTCCCCTTGGCTCTGTGCTCCAGCCCCCTCTTGCAGCACCAGCCAGGTGCTTTCAAACCCTCGCAGGCATCCATAGGGGAACTGTTTGTGCTCTTGTGCTCTACCAAAGTTGCTGGACTTGGTTATGTGGAGCAAGCTTGGACAGTGGGCAGGGTAGTCCCTTTGGGTGTGCAATGTTGAGAGGGTCCTCCCGATTCCTGGAGGGCAGAGGGGTCTGGCCTGTGCATGCCGGCCGGTGCTGGGCCTTGCGGTTGCTTCCTGGGGTTGGGATACCCCCAGCTGGGAGGTTGGAAACTCTTTGCCCAGACAAGCGCCAACATCTTCTCCCTCCTCAGACATGGACCAACAGTATCAACCAGGCCAACAAGGTGGCCCTGCTTGCCTGGGCAAAAGAAACCGGCATCGAACTGGTGCAGATCAACGGGCAGAGGCGCTACGGGGCACCCCCCCCAGGTACGTGCAAAGAGCATCTCAGGAGGGTCCCTGGCGGGCACGAGGGCGAGGTGGGTCTCACCCACGTGCACCATGTCGCTGTGTGCCTGCAGCCTGGGTGGGCGGCCCCCCGCCGGCCGGC